CTGTTTGAGGAATCTCCATACCTTCTTTTTCCATAAAGGCTGCACCATTTTGCAGTCCCACCAACCATGTATGAGAGTTCCTTTTTCTCCGCAACCTTGCCAGCATTTATCGTTCAAAGTCTTTTGGATTTTAGCCATCCTCACTGGGGTGAGATGGTATCTCAGTGTAGTTTTGATTTGCATTTCCCGGATGCTGAGTGATGTTGAGCATTTTTTCATATGACTGTTGGCCATTTGTATATCTTCCTTAGAGAATTGTCAGGCCTTTTTTTAGAGGTAGCAAGGGGCCTACTGTTTCAATAGGCTTTTCTTTTAAAGGAGGAGAGTAGTCTGTGATTGGTCTAAAGTTTATAGCCTAATGGTGCTATCAAATATACCTTGTATTAGAAATAGCAATTGCAGTGTGAGCCTACTTCTTTCAAGGTGTGTTTGCCTCACAGAAGTTCTTCTATCACTGTTGTCCCATTTTGGCGATTTGGGCTACCTGCAAAATTGGATGACCTGTCCTGAGCATCACAATCCTGAAATTGACTCTGGGAAAAGAATGGGCTGGGAAGCCAGGGAAGAGTTGTTTTGTCCTCCCAAGGTCCACAGGATCTTGTTAGGGAATTTGTTCCTAATAAATTTGTTTCTAATAAATAAATTTGTTTCCTTTCAAAGCACATTGATCTGATAATCTGAGGATCTTAAAGGCCAATAAATATGAAGAAAAGGTTCAGAAAGTCTCAGAGTATTAGATCTCAGTGGTACCCTGGAGATCATCTACTTAGATCACTAGTGCTTGGTGTGACAGATGAGGCTACTGGCCTTGTGTAAGTCATTTTTGGAAGAGTTAACATTTTATTTATTCATTTATTCTTTCATCAAATATTTATTGGACATTTACTATGAGTCTACCAAGACATGTACCTGATAGTGAAAACATGTTGCTATTTCATTGGTCCTGTTTGAGTTAGCATTCAATGAACTTACCCTTTTTTATATATATCAACAGCTGGTTTCACAAGGGCCCTGGGGGAGTTGATATATAGTATCTTCAGCCAGTGCAAGTAGGTTTTATATGCAAGGTTACCAATTTCTAAGCCGCTGGGCTAATTAGTTTAGCTTTACTTGGCTTTAAATAATACATACATTGTCGAAAAGTTATTTGTAATTCAATTTTTGGCAAATAAAAAACTAATTCAAACCACTAAGGAAACTTATTTAAAGAGACCCTGGAGCCAATCCTCTTATAATGTGAAAAAATCTTGTTATTGTTATTGAAAATGATTATTCCCGGTTATGGATTTTGTAAATCTGGACACTTGAGGTTCTCTTATGATGGGAACACAACAAGGCAGATAGCCCAGTAGTGGTCTGAACTGGGTAGGGAGGACTTTGGCCTCAGAGGTGGAAGCCCTAGGAATATTAGAACAGCCCAACCCAAGATATTGACATTTACCATGATTGCAAACTGCATGGACATGCTGCATGTCTTCTCTCAGGTCCTGGACCCTGGAGGGGAGGAGGGAGTGGTGGGGCATAATGAGTGGGGTGTAAATGATGAGATCTGGAACTCCCCCTCTCCATCTCCACAGATGGGAGCGGGACGGGGATAGGATAAGGAGTCTTTTGCTACCATTATAACAAATTTGAAACTCTTCCTTAAAGTCTGGGGGCTGTTTGTATACTTTAGGGCCCTCTTGTATACTTTAACAAAGTAGAGGAGGAGAGGAAGAGCAGCGGAAAAAATAGGACAGGAGTTTAGGAGAGAAGAGGGTTATGTGAATTCTTGTTATACAGTAAAATCTCCTTGGTTTTTGGGCCTTGCTATTTTTGAACTTGGAAATAATCTGGAAGAAGACAGGACTAAAATTTAACTTCTCATTTTTAAATTTTTTACTTTAAAAATTAATGTGCATAGTGACGTAGAAGAGAGTGTTTTAAAACTGATGTATGGGAAGATATATTTCACATATGAAAATAAGCAATTTTGAAATAGAATCATCATTTTACTCTAACAATTCATATGTTAAAGATGATTTTTGTGTCATTGGCAAAGCCTAATAGGACTCTTCCTTGCCAAGGAAGCTGAACTGTCCCCTTGTTGCGTGAGGATGAGAAAAAACCTCTATGTATCTATTTGTAAATTCTATAATAATTTACATCAATCTTAATTAGTCTCTATTAGGGATATTTAGTTGTTGTTTTTCTGTGTGGAATATACAGTTAGAGCATAGATATCTGTGGAAACTAAGTCTAGAAAGTACAAAACCATGCTTTTAGTCTTTGAAGTTAGAGCTTTCATTTTTATGGTGTTACTTTTTTCTTCTATTGCCCACGGTCTTCTCAAAGTGAGCCTTGTTTCTGGTTCTCTGTCAATTAGTAAAAGAGAAGCAACTGATGAATGAAAAGGCTCACTGTCTTCATTTAGTGAAAAATGAAAAAGAAGAAATTAGGTGAAATGGTCAGAGGCCCTTTGGAAATTTGCTTTAGGTCAGGGTATGACCTCTGACTGTGAAAACTGGCATTCAGGGAACACATCTCTCTTCCTCCTTGGTTCAGTGTATATTGGCCCATTTCCCTTCCCTGGGCCAGTGATCTTAATACTGAGCTAGGCCAAAATTCCCAGGTGGGTCTCTTGAAATAGTCAGTTTTTAGAAATTGAGGGATTGAGTGAGACCTCCTGCCCAGCATGCTGCTCTTCTCCTGTAGATTGTCATATTTGGACCCCAAGGGTATAAGCCAAGTGGAGAAAGGCACTAGAAGGGGGTGTCCATGATCTCTTGTTCTGTCTTACTGAGCTGATATAGAATTTTTCACCTTCTGGGGTCCATCTGTGTTGTGTCCCTAGTGATGATACACAACAGAGACCCTAGTTATAGCTCAAAGGGCTATGAGTATGTGTGGTTCTCCCTGCGAGTCCCTGTAGGATACGTGGTTTAAATGACAGGGGTACAATGGGCTAGCCTGGGGTTTTGTGCACTAGTTATAGCTCAAAGGGCTATGAGTATGTGTGGTTCTCCCTGCGAGTCCCTGTAGGATATGTGGTTTAAATGACAGGGGTACAATGGGCTAGCCTGGGGTTTTGTGTAAGTGTGTGGTAGCTGGGTCCTCCCTTCCCACACAGCTCACACCAGGCTGGGCTGTCCTTTGCCTCCCAAGGCTTCTGTTTCTCTAGGCACATCTTTATTTTCCATTCTTTATGAGCCCCAGGCCCCTACCTCCAGCCCCCTAACAGGAACTCAACTAGATCCTAGAAAGGACTTTCCAACTGAGAAGGAAGATTTAAACAGAGAATGAGTTAAAGAAGGGAGTGCATTTCCTTCCCAGGAGGAAGGAAATTTGTTTCTCCCCACCTCCTGTCTATTGTGGACTGATGATGGTGGCATTGAGGTGGAGTAGGAAGGAGGGTGGAGAAGGGTATTGTCATCAACTTTGCTTCCAGCTGGGGGATTTTTGTCATTTACTTTTCCTATTTGTAAAATGAAGACTAATAGTTGCTGTGCCACTTAGAAGAAAGGCAAGAAGAATTATTCAGGGTGTTGTAATCCATCTTGATATCAATTAACTAATTCAACAGATATTTACTGAGTGCTTACTGTGTCTTAGTCTATTTTCTGTTGCTGTAACAGAACACCACAGACTGGGTAATTTAAAAAGAAAAGAAGTTTCTTTAGCTCATGGTTCTGGAGGCTGGGAAGTCCAAATGCATGGTGCCATCATCTGGTGAGGGTCTTCTTGCTGTGTCATAATATGGTGGAGGCATCACATGGCAAGAGGGCAAGGGTGTGTGTGCCAGCTCAGGTCCATCTTCCTCTTCTTATAAAGCCACCAGTTCCATCATGGGGGCTTCATCCTGATAACTTTATCTAATCCTAATTACCTCCCAAAGGACCTCCAAATATCATCAACGTATGAATTTGGGGATTAAGTTTCCAACACATGAAATTTGGGGGACACATTTACACCATAGCACTTGACACTGTGCTAGGCACTAGGGGTTCAAAAGTGTTTTTTGAAAAAAGCCCTGTATCTTCAAGTTGTTCAAAGCAACAGGGCTATCATAGTTGCCCCCAGGGCAAGGAGTTTTGTACATGTGGTGGGGGGTGACTTGGACCGTCCTCTTCTTGAGAAGGACTAGGAGAGTTGAACCCCTGGTCACCCCTGTGGCCTGGCATCTGTGGAAGTGTCCTTTCTGTTGTGGAACCTCTCCTGGTCCATCAGGCTGGGCTGAAGAGCCTGAGCAAGGCAGAATCTTCTGACTGATGATAAAATTGGGAGGCTGAGGCCAGGACCCAGGGATTCAGCCAGCTGGCCTCTTTTACCCTGATTCCTTTTGTTTCATTATCCTACAGGTTCTTTTCGGAATGATGGTTTGAAAGCTTCTGATGTCCTTCCCATCTTAAAGGAAAAAGTGGCCTTTGTGTCTGGTGAGTATTTGTGGATCTTTCCTTTGTAATGGTCCTAGGGAAGTCGTGTGTGTGCACACATGCATTCAGACACTTTGTGTGTTAGTGGGGTGGAGTGGGTGGAGTTATGCTGAGAGCAGCTTCTTCCTCTCTGCAGAGGCAGACAGGGAAAGGAGGGCTGTGGTCTCAGCTGGATGTTCTGGAGGTCACTCACCACCACAGGTGGGCTACCCACACATACTTTGCACACACCTTGTCCCTCCTCACCCTGCCTGGCCTGGCAGGAGCCACTGAGGCCCCTGTGAGAGATCCTCTAGCAAGAAGAGACTGTCCACTTTGTGCATTCTCTGAGGTTTTATGTCAGTTCATTTCTGAGTGGGTCATGGACAGGAGATTAAAAAAAAAAAATTGGCTCTTCCTTATTTCTCTTTTCTGGCAAAGGAAATTCAAGTGAGTGTTTATATTTAGGTGTTTTGTTTTTGTTTTTTCTGAATAGTGACTTTCAAATATTTGTTCTTGACTTTTCTCTCCCACCCATCTTGTGCACCTGGATCTCTTAAAATCTATTTCAGTGGTTAACAATCTACAGCCTGTGGGCCACCACCAGTTTTTGTAAATAAAGTTTTATTGGAACACAGCCATGTGCATTTGTTTAAGTAGTGTATTAGTTTCTCACTGATGCTATAACAAATTACTAAAAACTTGTTGGCTTACAACAGAAGTTTATTCTCTCAGTTCTGGAGGCTAGAAATCAGTTTCACTGGGCTGAAATCAAGATATGTGTCAGCAGGGCTATGCTTCCTCCAGAGGCTCTAGGGGAGAATTTGTTTCTTGCCTCTCCCAGCTTCTGGTGGCTACTGACATTCCTTGGTTTGTGGCCAAATCACTCTCAGCCCTGCCTCTGTGATTACCTTGCCTTCTCTTCTTTGTTTGTGTCAAATATCCTTCTCCCTCTCTATTTTAAGGATACCTGTGACTGCATTTAGGGCCAACTTGGATAATCTAAGCTAATGTCCCCATCTCAAGATGGCTAACATAATCATATTTGCAGTCTTTGCCATGTAAGATAACATTTATGATTTCCGGGGATTAGGGCCTGATATGTTTGGGGGCCATTATTCAGCTTAATACAAGTAGTGTCTTGCTACAACAGCAGAGTTGAGTAGTTACAGCTGAGACCAAATGACCCACGAACCTAAACTATTTACTGTTTGGACCTTTAAGAGGAAGTTTGATGACCCCTGATGTAATTGAAGCCAATGACTGGCCAGAGCCCCTGGGGCAGCCATTCTCAAACAATAAGGTATACCCGAATCACTGTGTGCTGTTCCAGGAATCCACTTTAGGCCTCCTGGATCAGGGTCTCTGGCAGGACCTGAGGCTGGGGCTGGGGTAATGGCTATGTGAGAAGCAAAGGATCACATTTTGAGAAACATGCCCAAGTGCTTATGCTTCCTGGACCAAGCCTTTTCTCGTATTTCTGGGTGATTTTTGTTGTCTCCGAGGAGTGGCAGTGGAGTCACAGGACAACAGCCAGTACAGTCCCATTGTGCAGGGGTTCACTCCAGGGCACTGCTGGCCTGGCTGATGGGTGACAGCTAAAATGGAGGAAGGGGAGAAGGGAGGGGGTTATGGGCAAGGGGAAAGCAAGCAGTACTAGTCTCCCACCTCATCAGAGGGAAGGCTAGTGACCAATGATTCAGAGTGCAGGTGTGGGAGGGGAGGGCAGGCATGCAGTGGGAATATGTAGGAGCCTTTGTAAAGTACTAAGTGCATTGTATATTATTACCATTATTATTATTAGTAGTAGTAATAGTATTTTATTATTGTTTTTGCTGTTAGACAAGAGTGACTGGGAGACTGCCTTTCCCCATTACTGTTAGGCACTTGTACGAGGGTACTTCAAAAAGTTTGTGGAAAAATTGAATTAAAAGATATTACAAATCTTTCCATGAACTTTTGGAAGTACCCCCATATTATCTTGTTAGGTAGTGAGCTCTCTGTCACTGAGGATGGTGAAGCACAGGCTGAACAACCCCTTGGCAGGGTCATGTAGCAGTGATTGCAATGTAGGTAGAGACGTAGGTAAGACAACTTCCAAAACCTTTGTAACCTTGGATTCTGCGTTCTTGCTGAGCATGTGGGAAGACCTTGTATAGAAGTCCTGGAGTCCACTGGACAGTGCCAGGCCTTGACTTCTGTTCCCCATAGCCCAAGATCCCATAGACATGGCCCACAGCCCTTTGGAGAGCCAGATCTGATCTGGTCTCTTCCTCCTTCTTTTTTTATGGCTTTTAGTTAACCTAATATCCACTGGTCCTGCTAATTGTCCCATTTCTCTAGGGCCTGATGTTTCCTCTTCCTGTAGTGCTTTCCCCGCACCATCTGCCAATTTGAGCTGCCCCTTTTCCTTCCTGAGTTGGTTCCCTCTTTGCCTCCTCTAGGAGGACCTCCTGGATTTAATGCATAGACTTTGAGCACCATCCTGTTCCATGTCAGTTTGGGGCATATGATTGCAGACACAGTACACTCTGACATGAGACCCTTGCTTGATGTTCATGGTTTATTTTTTCCCATGCAAATTCATTCAGAGCCCTGGGGTAGGGTCCAGCCAGCCCCTGATAAGACCTTCCAAAGTGGTAGGGAGTTGTCCTAATGGAGCTCATACAACAACGTGCCAGGAAGGCAGTCAAGGTTGAGGCAGGTAGAAACTTCCCTGAGCAGGATGAAGGGGGTTGGGGGTGTGCAGCTCACTCCCATGTGCTGATGTGAATCGAGCAGCCTGGGGTAGGCCTCGTTCATCTGCACCTGTGATGCCAGGAACTTCTCGGCATAGGAAACATTGCCCTTCTGTGCCTGGGAAGGACACTGAGGGTGCCAGGGAGATAATGACTGGCTGCCTCTAATGTGAATCGAGCAGCCTGGGGTAGGCCTCGTTCATCTGCACCTGTGATGCCAGGAACTTCTGGGCATAGGAAACATTGCCCTTCTGTGCCTGGGAAGGACACTGAGGGTGCCAGGGAGATAATGACTGGCTGCCTCTACCCCTGGCTCCCCACATTCTTCTGGCTCTACTCATAAGGTGTCCATGGGAGGTGGGGAAGAAAAAAATGGTGGTTGTAAAAAAACCACTGAAGATTGAAAATGCTCCGGATGAGGTCAAAGCTAGAGGGGAAGCTAGAGGTCAAAGCTTGAGAGTGTTGGAGGACCTCCCAGTTTTGGGGAAACCTTCTATTTAATCCTTCTGCTTCCCTTTCCTCATGTGGAAGGCTGTTGGGAGATGGGGACCATTTCCAAGGCAGATGAAATGGGGTGGTTATCACTACAAAGCACCGGGGCTGGTGGAATGGAAGGACTGAAGCTGGGTGTCAGGGCCCAACTCTGAGGTAAATTTATATAAATCTGCCCTGGGGGCTGGGGGGCAGGTGGTCATGGTGGTGGTGCTGAAACATTTTCCTTCAGGGTCAAATCTCTCAGTGGCTTTGATCTTGTTTGATCCTTTTCTCCCTGAAGCCTCCTTATTTCCTTCTCAGGGTTGTCCTAGATTGATTTATTATTGGCTTCTGGACCCCACAATCAGAGGGAAACATTAATCACAGCTCACACTTGGGTGGGGCCCTGGAGGCTCTCTGCCTTCCTTGTGAGAGAGCCTTCCTCCGAAGTCTGAGCTTTAAGCTTCTTTTCTACAATTGTTGATTGCTGTGCCGACCCTTCCTCCCTCTTTCATTAGATCTCTTTGGGGTTCCCACCCTGGGGGATGTCAGGTGGGGATAGGGAGTGGGGATTCTGTGATTGTGACACAGATATTTTCTTTGTGTAATAGCCAGTGCCCTGTAGGGTCACAGTTACACCTTAGCTTCATCCCTGTCTAATACTCCTGAGAAACTTGGTTCTGTTTTCCTAATCATAGTGTCCATTAGTAAATACATTTTAAAATCATGTAATAAATAGTGAATAAAAGGTTTAGAAAATAGATGAAAGGACAAACAACTGTCTAAAATCCTGGCCTTCGGTCCGGCCCGTGGCTCACTCAGGAGAGTGCGGTGCTGATAACACCAAGGCCCCGGGTTCGGATCCCTATGCTCACTGGCTGAGCGTGGTGCTGACACCACCAAGTCAAGGGTTAAGATCCCCTTACCGGTCATCTTTTTAAAAAAAAAAAAAAAATAAATAAATAAATAAAATCCTGGCCTTCCAATAACAACAGCGACCGTCACTTTAGCATACCCCTCCTATCTTTTTCTAATGTGATATTTAGAAAACGTTTGTAATCCTAGTGCATACATATGCATTCACAGTGATTAATACTTTGATTATCCTTAATTCCAATAAGATTCTTGTGCTCCTCCAGCAGGAGTGACAGGTGGCATGCAGGCAGGTAGGCAGGGGTGGCTTCTTGGCTGTGTAAAAAAACACTTAACATATTTTCTGAGTCTAAAAACCTCCCAGCAATGCTGTCCCCAGATGGATACTTTGAGGCCTTCTCACCAGGGTAGTCAGTTCATCATGAGCACTCCCACCTCACAGGTCTGCAAAGAGAAGTGAATTGGAGGTTAAACTTCCAAAGAACATAGAACTTTCAGCCAGCTTGTTTTCTCAATAAGAACAGCTATCACCACCTTCGTTATCACTGAACATTTTTTTTTTTGTGACCGGTAAGGGGATCGTAACCCTTGGTTTGGTGTTGCCCACACCGCACTCAGCCAGTGAGCGCACCGGCCATCCCTATATAGGATCCAAACCCGTGGCCTCGGCGCTCCCAGTGCCGCACTCTCCCAAGTGAGCCACAGGGTCGGCCCATCACTGAACATTTGTAGAGAGCTTTACTTTTCAAAGTGTTTCCCCGTGCACCATCTCAGCAGTCCTTGCAAAAACCCTGTAATGTGCTCACCATTATATTCATCTGCCTTTTATTTATTTTTTTATTTGTTTTTTACATATTCCTTCAAATTTAATTCCATACAGGTAACACTGACAGTATATATTATGGTGTGCTCAGTTTCAACTTTACGGAAATGACATCATACCTGAGGAACTCACCTGTGACTTGATGTCTTCTTTAAACATTATCATCTGCCTTTTATAGATGAGGCATCAGAGAAGTCAAAAGACTTCCCCAAGGTCACTCATGTTACCTGCATCCAGACCCCTCCCTGTCTTGTCCTAAGCAGTGACCAGATTTCCCTGAGCACCATGTTTCTGCCTGCTCATCTGTCACTCAGACAGAATTCTTTTTCCTTTGCAGCAGACTTCCTTAAACTCCCTCCTCTTCCCCACAGGGGGCCGTGATAAGCGAGGCGGACCCATCCTGACCTTCCCTGCTCGCAGCAATCATGACAGAATAAGACAGGAAGACCTGCGGAAACTTGTCACGTATTTGGCCAGTGTGCCAAGGTAAGGTGAAAAGGAATGGCCTGCAGTGGAGGGGTGTGGGAAGCTGGGCTGATGCCAGTTGAGTTGAAATGATCCTCCATCCCTGCCTGGGGCCTGGTTGTTTCTGTTCTTGGAGTGGGTTCTAATTATTCCTGGAACATTATCACCCATTGTTTGCTTTATTCCCATCATTCCCATTGTTACTGCAGGGATTCATGTGAATGGAGTGGGAGTGGGAAGTGGGAACTCTGGGCAGAGGTGAGGGTCCCAGGCCAAGAGCACCGGTCCTGGGCCTGGAGCAGGAGATGGTGTGGCCTGGGGAGGAGGAATGGGAAGCTACTGTTTACCTTAGGGAAACAGGAACTCTGGCTGATTCCACTCTGCCTTGAGTGATGAATTATTTTCAAAACATCTGGCATGGGGCTGGCCCGTGGCTCACTGGGTGAGCGTGGTGCTGACAACACCAAGTCAAGGGTTAAGATCCCCTTACTGGTCATCTTTAAAAAAAAAAACAAAAAACAAACATCTGGCTTGTGAATAGTGGAGTTTGAGGCAAATAACTTCACTTGTATTGCTCACCTAGAGGGGGCCCTGGGCTCAATCTAGGTCATGCATTTTCAGTGAGGGGTAATGTTGCCCCCAAGGGGGGTTAAAAATTGGTTCTTGGGGTAGCAAAAAAAAAAAAAAAATCTTATTCTTTTATGCATCAAGCTCAGATTTACATATAACATTGAGATACAGTATTTGTGTGATGTTAAAATTGCACTAGTGGGGTGATTAGGGGAAAAATAGTCTAAAAAGGCTCCTTTGGGGGAGGGCAATAATGAAGAAAAATGTGAGAATCACTGGTCCAGGTGGTGCTGGTCATGGAGGTGGGTGGTGGGACACATGCCAAGGGCACAGTTTGTATCTTTTGAGAAGGGAGGGAAAGGCCTTTGCCTAGTCAGAGAATCATAGAATGTGGGAGTCAGAAGCGCCCTTAGGAGCAATCCAGGCAAATGCATGTCATCCTCTGCTTAGGGAACAGGGTCACAGGGGTCAGTGGCCCAGGCTGGCCTAGAACTCGGCCTTCCCAGTTCCAGCCCTGTGCTCACTCCTCATCCTTGCTCATGGCCAGCGAGGATGCTGCTTTCTGTCTCTTGGTGGGGCCAAAGCCTGTGAAGTGTTTGTTGTGGGAAATAAGAAGTGGTGCTTTCAGGACTTTCAACTTGTCCCTGTGCATTTATGGGAGAATTAGTAAATTACAGAGAGGAGTTATATATCCAGCTCTGCCTTTGCTGGGAGACCTGGGATAATTTTTGAACATATTAAATTCTTAAGGCAGGTGTTGAGTGAGGGAGGCACTACATTTCAGAGAGCCATAGGGGAGATGAATGTAAAGGGATTGGCAATGGTGATTGGCAGGTGGTAAAGGGGATTTTAAGAGCAGTTGTCAAAGGCTTGGAAGGATGTTGCATGGAATGGCAAGTCCCGAAGAACTTCAAGCAAAGGCTGTGAACAAACAGATGCTGAAGAGTGTCTTTTTTTTTTTTTTAAAGATAGCTACTGGGGACAGAAAAAAAATAGAAGGTCTTAAGCTCCAATGAAAAGGATTTGGGTTATATTGGGAGAACAGCTTCTAAACTTTGAGTGCATGAGATAATAAACTGAAGAATATAATAGAAGGTTTTTTTGTGGGGGGGTCTTTATAGAGAAGAAATATTCGTATCTATCTCAGAGGCAAAGAGATGGACTAAATAACCTATGATTACCTATAGGTAGTTTGGCAATTTAGCCATGTAATGGCTAAGAAGTTTTTAAAAGCACCTTTCCCAAGTATACTACTAATGGGCATAAAACCAGGCATTTTGTAAAGCAATTTACAAGTATTCATGGGGACCCATGATGACTCTCAGTTTTTTTTAGAGCCAGAAGAAATTTTGACCCCAGGGTATATGAAGGATATGTTTTTCTTTCTTACATGTTCATTATATGCCTGCAACTAATGCATGCTCATCTTTTCTTTAGAATAAAAGGGGAAAGAGTTGAAAGAATACTTTTTTTCATTCTAACTTGTTAAGCAAAGATTGGGACAGAACAAATTGGAAGTAATTAAAACAAAAAAGATTTCTGCTGGGGTGAAGGGGAACAAAACCCAAGAGGGGCTTAGAGGAAGATAATGAAAAAGGGGAAACAATGCATTATCATTGGAGGAACATTCTAGATGCAGGCCCTCTGCTTCTCAGAGGGTGGTCACAAACAATGGGTCCTGTGCTCCTGAGAGCAGAGAAAGTTCTTCACAGGTGCTGGCAGGTGGCAGGAAACAGTCCTGTTGCCACCTTCAGTGGGATGAGTTGCTGCCTCCCGCCTGAGGGACCTGTTTTCACCAGGAACGTGAGTACCTGGCAGGCTGCAGAGTCTGCCAAGTAGTCATGCACATGGGTCACTTCCTAATTCTGTTGGCCACAGTTCATACATGATGACCGCTGGAAACACATTTGGAACACAATTGTCCTAAAGGCAATGAAGTTTGGGTAGGAAAACTGAAGAACTTAGGGTCAGATACTATTTGCCACCCTTCTGTGTAGCCATGGTTTTGGGAGAGAAGGGCAACTATGAAAATGAACAGCTAGATTAGGTAGATGATACTGGTAAGAAGAAATTATTTATTCTGGGTCATGATCCAGGGTGCTAAAACGTGTTTGCTATAGTCTGGTGTGATCAAGTCTGTAGGAGACATTTGATATTCATTTATTCATTATTTATTTGACAAATATTTAGATCCTTTAGTAGATTGAAGATTCCTGGTGGGCAGGAACAGACACTTGAGAAAGTTAGGGAAAACCTGGTTAACTTCCCTACCCAATGCCAAACCACTAACAGTAAAGGCAGCCCAGGATGTGACTGCACTGGTATCACAGGAGATGGACCAGCCAGCAGGAGACAAATGAATAAGGACAAGCTAGTGATGGAAGAGGATACTAGAATCTAAGGAGCCAGCCAGATTGATAGTCATTTTTGGCATCATTCTAGAAGAGATGATTAAACAGATAGCAGTGATAATTTAGAAATGAAGAGGAAGAAATAGTCCCACTCTCCTCACTGCAGGCCAGGCCACATGTGGACTACTGCATGCAACTCTGCAACATCCAACTTGCCAGCCCCACTTAAGAACTACATAGACAAGTTAGAGTGCCGTCAGGGAAGCAGTACATTGAGGCACCCATAACGGTGTCTTTGTAGTTGATGGAATGAGGGATATTTTCTAGTGTGCATGAACGTGGAAGAAAAAAGTGATTCGTGACTTTAGATGTTAGGAGAGCTGCCCCAAAGACAAGGGAACAGGCATGGTCTTTGTTGCATCAATGGGTAGAAATTAGAGATCAGGCTTAGCAGTGAAGAATTAACTTAGCCACTTGGGAGCTGTCTAGCAGCAATGCTGCTGCCCCTGGGGAACGTGAACTTCCTGTCACTGGAGACTGGATGACCCTCTATTAGGGATGCTGTAGAAAGAGTTCCTCCACTGGGTTGGAGGTAGGATTAGATAATTTCTAAGAATCTTTTCTGTCCTGAATTCTAGGTTTCTGTGATATTGGAAAAAACATATATCATAAAATCCAGGACCTTGAAACAGAGTATTACCACACCCACCAACATACATACCCCCTTCTCAGACTCCCTAAGTAAGTTAAGGCCTGGGATTTCACTTGAGATTTTGTCTACTTCTTAACACCCAAGATAATTGCTTTATAGCCCCCGTGAGTAGGAATTTGGGGGCATTACCTGGGACCAAGGATCATGCTGGAGTGTGACAGTTTGTATCAGTCCTGAGTTACTCTTTTGGGATCCATCCCAGCCTGAGATGTGTCCCTTCTAATTTCCCTGTCTTCCTCCTGATGAGTTTGGGCATCCATCTCCTGGGTCCTCTCCAGGCTTTCTATCATCTTGTTCTGAGAAATCATAGAATATCAGGGTAGGAAGAGACCTTAAAAGTCTTCTAATTCGACTTCCCAACAAGTTCATTCATTCAATTCAACAAATATTTATTGAGTGCCTACTTTGAGCCAGGCCCTTTTTAGGAATCTTGATGAGTTCTCATGTTATCTCTTCTGATTGTCATCCATCCTACACTTACCTAGTTTTTTTGTCCTTATAGCCTTCTATCTGCTTGCAGTTACTTGTACAAGAAAGCCATTGAAAGGAAATGCTCAGATACGATCAGCTGATGAATGTTCCTAGAAACTGAGAAACAGGATAGAAAATCCAGCCTAAGGGTAAACAAGTGCCCAGGCATAGCTCACAGTGTGGATAATCTACCCACTGTGATTAGTGGGAGTTGACCAAATGCTTGAAATAGGAATTTCTAAGTACTGCATCTAGTAAATAAATCCTGGGTTTTTATTGCATGGAATGCCTCCTCTTCATCATCACTGTTATCCTGCTTCGTCAAGATCATCTTTCTGCTACTCTAAGGGCTTCAGTTGATGTATCTGCCACTTAATCTTCTCTTAATAGTGCTGCTGAGATACTGGGTGTTCTGCCAAGGAATGTAGGTGTCATCTTTGTAAGGAAAGATGACAGAAAATTAGGACGGCTATTCTGTAATGCCAATCAAACCAAGGTGCCTTTATTGGTGGCTTATTATTTGATAACATTTGCTGCTGTTTTACTGATTTCAGCAAAAGATAAATTGGGCTTATAGCCAGCACTGTCTTTGTGCAGTATCACCAGAAATAGGAATAGGCAGAGGGAGCCAGAAAAATAGAAGAGAACGTAAAAACTGCAAGGTTTCCTCCCACTATTTTCAGCATGAGAGAGCCCAAGCTATCCAAACTGTCATCATCAAATGTGTTTTGTTGTGAGGGCCTGTTGGTGCCCTGCCCTTTGTTTTGAGATCTTCAATTAAAGGAGCATGCAGACAGGAAGGGGAGGAATCAAGGTGATGGAAGAGCCAGAAAATAGATCAATGAGAACATTTAGGTCACATTGTTATTATTTACATTTGCCTAAGACATACCTTTTTTTTTTGTCTTTTTTCGTGA